TGCTTAAAACCCAAAAGGTTGCAAGGTAGTGACTAATCCCAACTGAGTTGTGATACCTCTAAAACATAAATTACGAGTTGGTCATAGATAGATGCTTTGGATCGTTAGATCCGGATCCAATGCCTTCTTGTTGAAATTGTATAGAGGCAAAATGTTTGAATCTTTATTCTTTTGGAAAGGAAGAAAGAATCACAAAGTTGTTGAGGTTAATTCACTTAGATGTTAGTGGCACTTGTCCACAACATAATACTGCTCATGTTGTATGACATTCACCGAAGATCGCTCTTGGTTGGACTATCATTTATTTTGAATAAACACAAGTCCGAATATTTTGCAAAAGGTTTCAAGGAATTCAAGAAATGTAAGTTGATGAGTAAGATGTCTAAAGTATTTACCTCCTTAGATTTGATCCAAGGAAAGGTAACATTTTAGAACAGTTTCATTGAAAGATATTAAGGAAAGAAGCATCATAAGATAATGGATTTCTCCATTAAGAGAAGAATGAACTCGAATAAGATTTAGTTCGTTGGATGTTATCAATTACCCATATATAGGATATATACTTCTAAGACAATATGATTGTCAATTAGAAGATCTTCCAAAATTTTCATGACTCCATAGGATGTAGTTGGAAAGAAAGACAAATCTTAATCATGTTAAGATTTGGGGTTGTATGCTAATAAGCAATATTTGTTTAAATAATTATCTTGTGGGTATCCTTAAATTAACATTTGGATATCACTTCTATAAACCAACTAACAAATGTTGTTTGTTGGGTAGTTCATTGTAATCCTACACTAGGAGTTGCCTAAGATAGAGCAAATGAACGAGGGATAGAACTCAAAGAATGGGTTCTTTGAGAGACAAGATAGTGATCAACAAATATAACAACCTAGTTCCTATACCACAAGCTCCAAGGTAGTAAAGAAGGATTTATAAACTGTCTCAGTTGAATGGTTTGAACTTTATGATTATGTCATAGAGTTACACTTCTTAATTCGAAAGAAATAAGAATGAAAATCCTTATGACTACATTGAGTGTATATATAACATATACTCAAGGAAATGGTAAAGTACCATTTGACCCGAAATAATGAAACCTTTATAGCTAATTGGTAGCTTAAAGTGACTACAATCAAAGAGAATGGTTGACTTGGAAGAAACCATCTTTGACATAGTCTTGGTTTCAATTAATTCGAAGATTGCTAGCTACAACTAAATGGTGATTCAATGTTTGGACATAATATGGGTTTCCGAAACCATTATTAAGATAGTCTTGATAATATATGTCTAAAACTATGAATCACAAGACATGTAAGTTGTAGAGATCCATCCATCATGAATCTTAGCAAGCTAGTGGGAGCTATAAGCGTCATGAGAGAAAAGATCAAATCGTTTGATTTCTCATAAAGATGTAAATGAATCTTTTGTTCACTAGGTTTACAAAAGATTAGTGGGACTTAATCATGTTCCTAAATTTGAATATATATATATATATATATACACACACATATATGATATATTAATTTTGGAAATGAAAAGAATACTTCTTCGTTAAAGTTATGACTTTAAACATTCTATAAAGATAGAATGGATATGGGAGACACAGTCTATATACATGAGATGGAAATCTACAATGATAGATTTCAAGATATAATTTGATTATATCAATCCCTAATACTAGACAAAAGATGCTAGGAAGTTTCTCATATGATGATAAACTTCAATCAGAAGAACAACTCTAGTGAGACTAGGAGGTAGCTCTTCTCAAAGGGAACGTACCCTTTTACTCCCAAAGAAATAATGCGTAAATAGAATTCTTTATGCATACGCAGAAAGGCGATTTACGTATTTCATATTGTATGAAAAACGTTGATATGAGTTGTACCAAGATCGGGACAAGACGATATCAATGCAAGCCCAGGATCAGAACCATGACAACTGTCAAGTGAATCCTTAAGTATTTGAGAAATAATAAAGGATGGATTCCTCAAGAATGAGGAAGAATTAAAGTAACGTAATGGAAGCGTAAATGTATTAGATTATGAATCTAATCCACCATTGAATGTTTCTTCATTATAAATGAAGAGATAATTAGATATCTCTTTATTATGACTAAAGAGATATTTGGATGGAAACATTAAAAGTAATGACTTTAGTGTGTTCCATTATCAATGCAAAATATATTGCCATAAAGAAGCTTACAACAATGTTGTTTGGATGAGAAAGTTCATTTATGAACTCTCTATTCGGTTCCAACCAGAAAGTGTCTTTAGTGTACCGACACTACGACACTAATGGGGCGATAGCTCAAGCCAGGGAATCAAGGTCTAATCATGATCCGAACTCAAATGAGAGACTAAACCACATGATTAAGAATCATGTATAATGGTGACGTTGTTATTCTCAAGGTTGCTTCTATGGATAACATATAGATATCCATTGTCTAGGCCTACTACTCAGCCATTTTTGAAATGACTACAAAAGAGGTATCATCATTGATGACCAAGTTGATTGGCTCTAGTGCAAATGGGAGATTGTTGGAAATGTGCCCTAAAACCAATCATATGATGATACTTTACGGACATTTCACATGTTAAACTAATCTAGTTTAATATCAAGGGCAAAGATTATTGTTTTAAGCCGTCTCATATAAATGTTATATGCTTAAACGATAAGTCCAAGGAATATGTAATTAGGAGAATGTAATTTAAAGAAGTTAGATTCATGAGACCATTCTATTTCGTATACATATCCTAAACGTTCCTGAACATAGGATTGCCAATTGGGCATTGACAGTCCGTTAAGATCAGTACGTGTTGTGGCTTCTCTCAGGGAGAGTGACTGGTCTCGAGTCATTAGTGTGATTGACACCAAGACAAGCATGTAGGTGCTCAATAGAGAATGAGTCCACTGAACACGATCAACGAGGAGTTCTCATACTCATGTCACATGAGAACTCATGGTTGGGATAATGCAAAGTAGTCATTTGACTTGAGGCATCATAGTTGTCTTGTGGTTAAGTCCTCGATCTTTGACTATGTCAAAGTCACTCTGTCAGAGGTGTCCACGGCATAATTGGGGTTAAGCCACTTAGCCATGGAGGCAAGTGAATGCGCAACAAGGGATCTCTAACCTTCAAATCGTTTGAGGGAGAATACTCTATGATATGATTAAGAATCTCCGGCCAGAGTATGAATGAGATTTAGGAAATCGTTCCAAATCACATTCAAGGTAATCATATAAGTAAAAGAATCACATTGGATAGTAGACATGAATAAACTATCAAACCAAACAATGTGGTCAAGAGTATTGTATTAGAGAAAGACCGTATTGCATTGTAATCCTAAACTGAATAGGTTCTCCACCTCTTCTGATTAGCTTGGGTAACCATGACATACTGCTAGGTGTCACTCATGGTTTGTGGAAGCCCTAAACGTGTATAAACATTAAAGGGAGAATTGAAAGTAAGTTTCAATTCACAATTGATTTGAAAGAGTTCTAATCGCCTACTGCCTCACTAAAATGAACCTAATGGATCGTACACCGTGTAAGGTAGAGATTGAAGAAACAACGGAGATGAGTAAGGATAATTAAATGGTTTAATTATTTATGGCAATGATTAATTAATATGTTAATTAATCAAACGAATAAAGTTCGTTAAATACCTCGGGTTAGTTTTGGGCCTCAAGGCCCAATGGGCTTCGAACGTCAAACCCATTGACTTAAGTTGTATGACAACTTAATGACTAAATATTCACAAAGGCCCAAACAGCCCAATAACACCCTATGGCCGGCCATATTGATAAATGAGTGGGTTTTGGACTTATTACAAGTTTGCCACTCCAATGAAGGTAGGTATAAATATGACTTTATAGCCTTTCTTCATTAGGGTTTCTTTTAGAGAAAAAAATGAGAACACAATGTCTCTCCCTTTCTCTCTAAGAGGCCGGCCACCCTAGAGGATTTTAGCTAGCAATCTTACTTCCTCTAGGTCACTCATCTCTTCTTCAAGTCCTACCTTGGTGTGGAGACTTAGAGGTTCTCAACTTTGGGAACTTGGAGAATCATTTTTGCTTATGCAAAGAGGAATCAACAAAGGTTTAAAGTTTTTCAACTCACTTCGTTTTGAGTTGAGTCTTGGTTCACCATTCTACTAGGCTTTGAATTTCATAGGTAATGTTTTGTTTTTGAGTGCATACAAGCATGATTCCGCCTTTAATTGTTAATTGCATGCCATAGATGTTGCTCAAATGAACATGTTTTTCATAAAATTTCCTTCAGGGGTGTGATAAACAAGATGGAGACAATCATGCTCATCAGGCCACGAAATCATCTGTCCAATAGATGATTTCGTGATCATATTCATTTACCTTATTAAGATCCTTGATTTTATGTAAATATTGATTTGTAGAGTCTTTCCTTATGCAAATTGTCAAAGCTTGTAAACCCTCTATAAATTTGTATAAATACAATATATTGAGATCAATGAAGATCATCCAAAATTTCAACAGCGTGTTCTTTATGTTATTTCCCTGCACTATTTAATCTTTCAACATAAACACTTTCTTAATACATAGGCCTTGATCATTTCCGCATATGAATCTTGGAGAGACATTAATTTGTAAGCTTCTACACTCTTCAGAAACAGGTTTGTACCAATCACCGGATATCCTCTTCTTGCCAGACAAGTACATAGTGCCATATATTTAGACTCTCAGGGTGCGTTTGTTGCACCGGACTATCTCGGACTGGACTAGCTTTAGGGACTAAGTTGGACTGGGTTAGACTAGACTAAGTTGGACTGTCTCAGTGAAGCGTTTGATACAGTGTTGGACTAAACAACAGGATAACAACAAATTCTAATATTATATTTTTTTCATTTATATTTTATTAATATTTTATATTATTTAATACATATTTAGTAATATTTTATTACTTCCACTGTCTATTTGCTTTTTCATTCTGAAACCACCCATCTCCATTTCTTCCTAATTTTGCTCCGACCCTCTCCCTCTATTCGTCTTTTTCTTTTCCTTTCCACTCTCTCCTCCCTCAAAACAGCGTCATTCATCACCCCCTTTTGTTCTCTTTTTTTTTTCCCTTTCCTTTTCTTTGCTGTTGTGATTCCTCTAAAGACCGAGGCGAACGCTAAGCCGAGGGAGGATGACGACGAGCCCGAAGAAGGAGAGATCGTCGGCAACCAAGACTCGGCGTCGTCGAAGCCTTCGAAGGGAATTGCGCCGCAGTCTCACGCCCTGGAGCACTCCTGGACCTTCTGGTTCAATAGCCCTGCCGCAAAGTCCGCCAAGTCCAAGCAGGAGGATTGGGGCAGCTCCATCGGCCCGATCTACACCTTCATTACCGTCGAGGAGTTCTGGAGGTTAATTTCTTTCATTTCATGTGGTTTTGGGTTTAATTTTGTTTGGTTGGTAGGAAAACTGAGAAAAGATTGAATTAATGCGTTTGTTATGTGCTTGCTGTAGTTTGTGATAGAACAAATTTGGCCATTTTTTGGTGGTGGAAGAACCCTCGCAGGGAGGAGGAAGAAGCCCAGAACTCACAGAAGGGCTCTCAGGGAGGAGGAAGAAGCCGGTCTTAGCAAGTCCCATGGTTTGGGGAGTGCCTCGCTAAGAACCTTTAAGGAGGCCTCTAGTCCACACGAGTCCCCTTTAGTCCCACTTAACTTAGTTCCATCACCTATCAAACATGGGACTGTAGTCCAGTCCAGTCCAGTCCCTCCTAAGGATGTGAAACAAACGCCCCCTCAAAGTGGCAGAACAAGTTCCTTATTGCCAGCTCGGATACCCCAAATAGGCTCACTACGATAACAGTGTCATGTTTCTGCACAGAATTAAGAAGAGACCCGAGTTCATCAAAGGTCCCAAGTCCCAACAACTGTGTCGGGAAATACTTCTCTGAAACAAAAATCATACCACTTAAGATCACTCAACGGTTGCATATCCCAAAAATCCGAATCAAGAGAACCTTCATACAGTATATGGGAATCATCCCACCCTGTCGTCACCTGCACACGAATTTATCATCTCAACTGAGGAATGAGTGAGATAGTAAAAAGTTCAAAATTAAAAAAGAAAAAAAAAATCCAGAAATCGAATTTTTAGAAGTAATAAAGTACCATGCCATGAAGAAATGGCTTAATGCCCTTTGCCTTGTGATTGTCATACCACACCCTGAACTCTTTCCAAGTGCCAACTAGTTGGTACAAGAAGAGTCGTGTTCTATCATTCATTTGTAGTTTGTTCCCGTGTTTACCTATAAGCAAACAACAAATCAAATAAAAGTAATCCAATTGTATTTTGCTACTGTGTTCTATTCACCCATAAGCCAACAACAAATCGAATAAATAGGTTCGCCGTTTCTTTTCCATTTGTTTTCATGAATAAAAATGAAAAAGAAATGTGGCAAGCTAAAAGATGATTTACTTAATTGCAACCTTATTTTCTCTTCACAAATTCATTCAAATCCAAATATTCCAAAACTGAAATTTAAATTTGATTTTCCTTTGCCTAATACAATCATGCAAACGAGTATCTTATAACATTCTTGGATAATCTACACCAACAAGATCAGACAATACAATCAGACAATGCTTAAAGTAGAAGAAATCCAGGTATCAGACAATCCAGCACTAGCACTGACCATAAACCCTTTCACATTTTCCTTTTTGGGGGTGAGTGGGGGAGACAGGAGTGGTAATAACTGATAGGAGAAGAAGATGAAGAGGATGGAAAGCGACAAGAGGAGGAGTGGGAGGAAGTGTCTCTTCGGTCCCACCATTTTTGTAGGGCTAGATCTGGGATTTGAAAGTAAAGAAGGGCATTGTTTTTACATTGAAGATGTTCAAATAGCTTTGATGATGAATAAATTTAATGAACTAAGGTGTTCATATCTTCTCTCCATCTTGGTGTACCTGCACATAAAGTTCACATCTTAAGTAACTCAGTAATAATACTAACATTGGTTTGTTCTAATATGGGACTAAGAAGGTTGACTAGTTACATAACACGTTTTGGGTTCGATTTGCAATAAAATTTAACCATCTAATAACAAATTTCACATTAAAAATAGGAAGTGAATAAAATAATTTTAACTGTTTTTATTTTTGTTGGATTGAAATGTTAACTGTTGAAAAATTAACAGTCAAGTTCATAACAAAACTTTTCGTGTCGACCAAGTTTATAAAATGCTATCCATTATATCAATCGAAATGTCAATTTGTTCCCTGTATAAATTTCCCTACAATCACATCAAATTCCTGAACCAAAAAAACATACAAATCTATAACACTGTCAAAACTCACGAGTTAACAAACAAATGTGAATACACAGTTGTTTGCATAAAAAGTTCAAAACCTATAAAAACACAAACTGAAATTCTATTAAGCATATGTCCAATTTGGATGCGGATATAGTTTTGTTGTTTAACTCCGATCTCGCATAAGTATCATATTTACAACTATATGATACTTAAAAAGAACACTTATGTTCTCAATCTCTGTATCTGAAACTAACACAATCAAGAAACAAAAATCTTAATGCAAATTCAACTAAATAAATGTGATTAACCAAAATTGTCAATCCAACAAACACTAGATTCCATATACATGTTAGTAAAACGCATGTTTTCAGCTCTTAGTCTCCGTTTAATTTTTCACATTTTTATAGCATATTGGCACGAGTTAGTGATGGGCAACAAGATGGTCGAGCTTCCCAAAATGTAATACAAAATTCTGTGACGTAAACGTGGCTGAAAGCATTACAAATGCATGAGAAACATGTAACCGGAGAGAGGCAATAACGTCTGGAATAGTAGATCAAGACAAGATATTAAAGCAAAAACTTATGAGTAGAACAAAAAATTCATTCTTTAGTACATGATTTCCCTGAACATAGGTTCGAAAAGCACTGTCTAAACAAAACAGTACACACAAGTACAGAAGAAAAACCCAATGCACATTAATTTGTACAATTCAAGGAAATGTACAAACCAAATCAATTTTCCAACAAGGGACTACTTCTCCAATTGATTTGGTTTGTACATTTCCAACATGGAAATGTACAAACCAAATCAATTTTCCAACAAGGGACTACTTCTCCAATCGTGTTGTGGGTTCTCTTTGTTGTGGAAGAAAGTGTACATAATGCAATTAGCATCGTTGTCCGACGTTGCCACCGGTTAACCATCCGATAGACACCAAACCCAGTAAAGCATCACACACACACACCATCTATATAAAACACTGCAGAACTAGAGAACAAACATTGTTGTCCACAACTTAAAGAAACTCTACAACTCAAATCGATTTTCGGACAACGGACTGCTGATCAAGTTCTGGGTTCTCTTTGTTCCAAAAGAAATTAATGATTTAACACAAAAATAAATAAATAAGTAACCCAAAAATACCAAAAGAAACTCACTTGCCGGTTCCTGAGATGCGAGATTGATCCCGAGAGAGCTGTGAGAAGGAGGGTGAGAGAGCTAGAGCGCGACGAAAATCAGAGACGGGGGTGGGGGTTGCTTGCCGATGGCGTAAAGTGGTCCGAGATGGCCGTATGGGGGTGGTGGCGTTTGGAAGGTTTGGAAGGAGACGATGGTGATGGTCGTCGCAGCCCGCAAGTAGGCCTGGCATTTTGGACCCAACCCGTTAACCCGATCCGACCCAACCCGTTAATATTTGTATTTGAGTGGATGCTTAACGGGTCGGGTCGTTAACGGGTGAACCCGTTAACAACCCGTTAAATAACGGGTCACTTTGGGTCAACCCGTTAGGACCCGTTAACACCCGTTAGCACCCGGTAGTTGAGGATATTTTAGTAATTTTAGTAAAGTCTTAATAACAAAAAATAAACTTTATGCAAAAATAATAATAATAATAATTGTTAACGGGTGTTAACGGGTGAAACGGGTGACCCGTTAGCTTAACGGGTCGGGTTCGGGTGACCCGTTAGCTTAACGGGTTGGGTTCGGATGACCCGTTAACTTAACGGGTCGGGTTCAACCCGACCCAAACCCAATAATCCAACGGTAGAAACGGACCTCATTTTTTACGGTGATCGCAATTATCCCATGTTTCATATCCCCGACCTCTTCTCCCACCACACGATCCTATTGTAGCCACTCCACTCACTCACTCCTCGCCCATCCGCCATCGTTGCCGCCCCTTACCTCTCTTAATGCAACTGCTTCCGCCTCCTCCTTCCTCTGTCGACCCTACTCTTCTTCTTCTTCTTCCTCTTGTTTAAGCAGCTGTGAGAGCTGCTCCAACGGTCCAACCGCGAGTCTCAACTCTGAACCAACCTATAACTTCTTCGACGAAGCACAGGTAAGTCTTCCCTCTTCCTCATTTGAATTCTGTTGATTGCCTTTCAAATTGTGATATATTACAATGAACACCCTTTTTTGCATTGTGCGTTGTGTTCTTGGGATAATTGTGATGCCCATCAGTAGTTTGATGGATTGTCTCAGTGGGAAAATCTTGCCCTTTGGGCGAAACTGGAACTGGGTTTTGTGTTTGTGTTTGTATTCGATGGATTAAATTGGATTATGATGTGCTTTGTTTTCGAATATATGGTTCGAATAGGCGAATGGCACGGTTAGAAACCTAGGATTATATATTATCCTTGAAAAATATTACTTTCATTCAGTTGTAGCTGTTACAGTTAACTTTAGACTCTTAGTCTTTCTTTTCAACTAATTCATGCATTTCTTAATGGTTGGGAAGACAGCCCTTGCATTGTTTGATATCCAGCTGGGTTACGAAGATGGCTTCCACGATCTTTAGAAGCCTTCATACGAACCCTTGTTTGCTCCATACAACTGCACTACTTAGAAGAAAAGATGTCATTTTGTATTGCACAATGAGGAGCGCACAAACCCGGACAGCCGCTACACAAGATAAGGTTAAGCCGCAAGTGAAAGTAGCACCGAATATTCAGAACAAAACACTCGAGAAAGCCTCAAAGGACTATGAAGCAGTCATAGGTATAGAAACTCATGTCCAGCTCAACACTCTTACCAAGGCCTTTTGTAGTTGCCCTTATAATTATGGCTCTCTACCGAACACTAGCGTCTGCCCCGTATGCATGGGTCTGCCTGGTGCTTTACCGGTTTTGAACATGAAGGTCATTGAGTCTGCAGTTAAAGTCGGGCTTTCACTCAATTGCAAATTGTCATTCAACTCAAAGTTTGATAGGAAACAGTACTTTTACCCGGACCTTCCGAAGGGTTACCAAATATCACAGTTTGATGTTCCAATTGCCACTGGTGGCTACATTGATGTGGATCTTCCTTTGGAGTATGGTGGCGGGCATAGGAAATTCGGCATTACAAGAGTTCACATGGAAGAGGATGCAGGGAAGCTGCTTCATTCAGAAGGTGGAAGTTACTCACAGGAAAGTACCTTTCCTTACATACTTTTAAATCAACGTTGTTCTACATCTTATAAGTTATAAAATAGAGAACCACATTCTGTTTTTTTTTTCTCTGTGAAATTTCTTTGTTTCCTATTTTCTTTTATTTGTTGTACTACTTTAAAGGCTTCATTAGATTAGTGTAGTGTTACGGATACTGCGTAAATTCAGTTTTGTATGTCCTTTGAATTTACTGTGGAATAACAATTACTATTTATGTATATATAGAAATCTACTTCTCATAGTTATGTAAGGTTATGAGAGGCTGAGGTTAACACTATCACTTTTCTGGATACTATTTGTTTATTTCATGCAGGTTGATTTAAACAGAGCCGGGGTGCCTTTGCTTGAGATTGTTTCTGAACCTGATATGAGAACTGGTATTGAAGCTGCAGAATATGCTGCAGAATTACAGAGGTTGGTTCGGTACTTGGGAGTGAGTAATGGGAATATGCAAGAAGGTTCACTTCGTTGTGATGTGAATATCTCTGTTCGACCAATTGGGCACATAGAGTTTGGGACAAAGGTAAGTAAGTTACTTTACACATTTTCTGTTTTTTTTTTTTTTTAACAACTACAAATCTAGTATAAAGAGAAACACGGGAAAAAAAAGAGAGAACAAAGAACTGGGGTATTTACCAAAATTTCAGCTATGGAAACTGATTGAAACTGTCAAGCTGGTAGGTTCTTGGAATAAAGTAGAATTTGTTCTTTGCAAATAGTCCGTACTTTTATAATGTTTTAAAGGAAACACCGATTTTTTAGAAAAAGGTAGAATGGTATTAGTACTTCTCAATGCATTCTCATTTGTTTCTCAAATTAAAGATGCCTTATTTCTAAAAGTTTCCTGCATTGAAGAATATCCACAGAATGTTATAATTTTTTATCCTCTGGTGACATCTTCTCAGAAAGGAAGCATTTTGTGATTGACAAAGATCTTACCTGAATGACATAATGAGATATGGAAAATACTTTTTAACGTAAAGAAATACACTATTAAATAGGTTATGTCAAGCCTTTATATCATCACTGTCAAAGTCACAGCCTTGGATTAGAAATACACTATTTGTTTTCAGGGACTGATGTAATTCTTCCTACTACATATTGGCAGGTGGAGATAAAAAATTTGAATTCATTTTCCTCTGTGAGCAGGGCAATAGATTATGAAATCTCCAGGCAGGTGCTTCTTCATAGTCAAGGCGAGGACAAAGAAATTGTGCAGGAAACTCGTCTATGGGAAGAAGGAGCTCAGGTGATAGCACCTTTATCATCCTTATTGTGTAAAACGTTCCTCTGTGTCCAGCTACGTGCTTCTGTTAACTTTATTGTGCTGTTCAGAAAACAGTTACAATGAGAAAGAAAGAAGGACTTGCTGATTACCGATATTTCCCAGAACCAGACCTTCCAGGAGTTTTCCTCACCCAAGACTATGTTGATGGTATTCGTAATACATTGCCTGAACTTCCAGAAACGAAGCGTCGGAGATATGAAAAGATGGGTCTGAGTATGCAGGATGTTCTTTTTCTGGCCAACGATGTAAACGTAAGTTCTCTGGAATATTGTTCTGAATGCTTTCTCTGTCTTGGAGTTGCTTTAAATTTCTAGAATTTGAGAGTTAAAGTAAGAAACAGAAGTAGAAATTATGACTGAAACAAAAGAAGTAGAAATTATGAATGCTTGCTCTGTTGGGAGTTGCTCTATATTCCCCAGGTCACACAATTCACACAAAGAAAGAAACAAAGAAACAAAGAACAAAAGAAAAATTAATATTTACTTACAATGCTAGCAATTGTACCTTTGATGGACTGGCCATCTTTCTCTTAAGTGTCTATCAGCTCTTACTGTGTGTTTTAAACCAGATGTTTTTAGTGTCAATGGCTGGTTCCCTTTTGAAATTACTAAGAAAAGCCTTTAGTTAGTCATTTCATCCATTCAATGTTCAAGTGGTTGATGATTATCTAAATGGCATGATATGCATGCCTATTATTTTTGTTTTTGTCTTCAAAAATGGCATCATATGTAATATGTGAAGCGGGGCTGATTGCTTTATGTATACCATAGGTTGCAGAGTTTTTTGATACTACTATTACAAAGGGTGCTGATGTGAAGCTAGCTACCAACTGGATAATGGGTGATATTGCTGCCTACATGAAAAATGAAAAATTGACCATCAATGAGATTAAGCTTAGCCCCCAAGAGTTGGCTGAGTTAATAGCTTCCATAAAAGATGGGACTATTAGTGGGAAAATAGGAAAAGAGGTAACAGGTTTTGTTTTCTTCTTTCGGACTACATTTACAATTTTATGTATTTCTAAAAGATCAATCGAATTTGCAGATACTGTTTGAGCTTCTAGCCAAGGGTGGTACTGTGAAGGGACTGATTGAAGAAAAAGATTTAGTACAGGCAAGTTCACTTTATTGCCAGGCTTGTTATTTTTTTGGGAGTTTTAACGGAACACTCCCGATACTGTTCACTTTTAATGAAAAACCACATTTTTACCTTTTTCTGGTACTATTCACTACACCTTTATTTGTCTTTTTTCATTAAAACTAAAGGTTTTTTTGGACTTTTCGTTAGTTTTCCTTATTTTTAAATGGTCAGATGTTTGAGGTGTGATTCATTCTTATAATTGTCTGTCTCCACTTTGAAACTTAATTGCCCTTATATCCGAAGTTCAGTAATTTTATCTGATTCTCCGATCCTATGCTAGATTAAAAATGTGCCGAAGGTTGAGCACCTTCTCAAGCATCATGTGCCTTGGCCTAATATAGCATTCATTCTTTTTTTTGTGTTAACTTCAACATCATCGCAATATTTCTAAAAATAACAATGTCGTCTAGGCTCTGGATTATTTCCCGCTTACCAGATTAGTAAAATTGGTGGTATTGTATCTTATTTTTGGCATGTTTCGCAGATGTTATCTGGTTTCAGAAGTCAAAAGACATAATTTTGATTTGTTCACGTGCCCCTACTTTATGTGAGTTAAAGTAAGGATAGCACTGGAGATTCAAATACAATATAACAATTCATCTCACCCTAAAATAACTGATTGATCCTACTAATTTGTCTGCTTAGTTTCCAATTAGAGAGTAATTATGTTGGATGATGTCATATAAAATTTATGCACAGCTGCATGCAGCCAATCAAACAGCGAAATAAAATCATCTTACGATGATAATATGGTTTAGAACTTCGTAACAAATTAAGGGTCCTCTAATGACGTGTTTGTAACAGATAGTAGATCCTGCTGAGATTGAAAAAATGGTAGAAAAGGTGGTGTCAGAGAATCCAAAGCAGCTGGAACAATATCGTGGTGGAAAAACTAAACTGCAAGGTTATTTTGCCGGGCAGGTAAAATTTTGTGAAACGGTAATCCATATGCTCCGTTTTTAATAGTGTTTCTTAAGTTGAGTGAGATGGTTTTGAACATTTTAACCCTTTGCAGGTAATGAAACTATCAAAAGGAAAAGCAAATCCAGGAGTCCTAAACAAGATCCTTTTAGAGAAATTAAACGCCAAAAGCTGATAAAGTTCCAGATGATGCAATATAGTGGCCATCAATCGCAAACAAGCATTGTCAAAGTCAGATGAATTCACTCAAGCTGAAGCGTTTTGACATTTTGTGGCCTCCAGTTTATCTTGCGTACGGTAGAAGCATATTTTGCGGCTACTGCTGAACCAGCAGTCAGCAGCCGCTCGAGATTGTTTACGTGCCCCATCCAAGTATGGAATGAAGGTTACCTGGAGAATGTAGAAATGATTGGCTTCTATTTTTTATACTTCCTGCTGTTGTTTGGTTGCTCTACATGCTAGAAAGCTGGATAGAGAAACATTGACTTGTAACCTCGCCCTCTTCCAGTAATTTGGTGTTCACATATTAATTTATATATAAAAGAAATGAGATCAATTACTTAACACATCCATTTTGTGTACTATCTACTCTCACCATGGGTTAGGAACTATCCAAAAGGGTGGTGGATCAACTCTCCACTTCTCAAATTGGTAAATTGGCTTCACAACTTTGTTGCCTATGTTGTATATTCCTACATCATGACCACCATAACCATTGTCGTCAACACTGCCGGCGTTGAAATTGATCTCGTCCCATCGATCGTCCGTGAAGTAAATTGAGTTTTCTTCGCATTCTAGAAAATCGGGAGTCGACACTGACATTGATTGATTCCCGCCCAGAAATAAAGCTCGACCGCGCAAAGATTCAATTTTCTCCCACTTATTGGCTGTGAAATTCAACTTGAGGACATAAAACTGCAATGTTCTGTAGGGACAGAAGTAACCATACTCATCTAGATCCCCCTCAAGAATAGCCGTGCCCTCATGGTTGACAAAGTTGCCGATAACTCGCCCCACGGACAATATCTCACCCAAAGACTCCACCAAGTACGTCTGAGTAGAATATTTGTCCTTGGAAAAGTCCTTAATTATATGATTTACATTTTCTAGCTCTGAATATGGCTGATGAAGATTCATAGTTTTGATGGGAGTAGAGGAGTTGTTGAAGTCCCTCCACACTTCGACCGAGCCATCCCCCGCCAATGCATACAACTTCTCCTTGTGAAAAATAACATCACAATATTCTCCATGCACACCTTCTAAGCCTCTCCATCTGCTGCCCTCCTCCCCATACTTACAAAATCCAAGTTTTGAAGATAACACACCATAAATTATCACAACAACAAAGTTGCCGTTGCAAGAAGGGTCGGAGGAGAGAACAGCTTTGCAAATAAAAGTCATGCGCAATTGTTCAATGCTGTCAGGATTGCTGGGGCAATTTTGCAGAGACCAAATTTTTGGGAGTTGAATTCTACGCCGCGAAACGGGATTGAGAAGATGTGGGACTGCGTTGTTGTCCATGATCACCAGCCAACCGTGTGATGAACCAACACACCAATCATCATGACATTCTTGTAACACGTTCTTGACAGTGTAGACTTCATCTTCTTTAAGGCTGTAGAAACACCGAGTCCTAATATCGTTATGAACGTTTTCTTGATCACTAGGGAGCATTAGCCATGGAGAAGTTTGCGGAAACGATGTGGCATAATAACATTTCATGGCTTGATTCCAAGAAGAACAAACGGATTTAAATCGAAGCATGTCGAGGAAGGAGAGATTTTTCATTATTAACTCTAATATTTCAGATCGGAGGTCAGACCAATTTGGCGATATTGTTCTTCTCTTTATGTGGCGACGGTGGTATACTTTTCCGAACATTGTTGAATGAATGGTCACGACGCTTTGTAAAGAGTGAACGGAAAGAGCAGACCCCACATATTATATAATGGACTTGAGTTTGGGGAATCCAGTGTGAGTTAGGAAACCAAGCAAATTCATGACTGTTTTAGGATTTAGGAATACTAGTCAAGGATGCATTAGGAAATTAGCTAGTTCCGAGTATCCTGCTAAAATTACTACTCATTTTAGGAAGGGTTGTGTTATCCGCATACCCCTATTTACTTCTCACATAGCTTTTGTTAACTTATGTCCTTTGATCATCATCAATTCATTTTGATCCGACGGCCGAAAATTAAGAGAATGTGTGACAAGTAAAAAAATGTGTGTGGATATCATCCCTTTAGGAAAGCTATATATATCAAAGCCCTAGCTACTCAATGACCATAATCCATAAACCTTGCTCCGTACTCAAAACCCTACGACCTAGTTACTCAAAACTCTACTCACCATGGCTCTCATTCGAGGTCGGCAACTGAAGTCCTTGGCCCCTCTCTCCGTGCACGTGCACCGCCCATGTTTCTCTCTTCCCGTCCATCCTCCCGCACTGATGACAGCAACCAACTACTCCTCCACTTCAATCTCCACTGCTGATCTCGAGACACTCGAACTCCTCGGCCAAGGTAATGGCGGCAAGGTCTACAAGGTTCGCCACAAGCAGACTTCCAGTACCTACGCTCTCAAACTCGTCAGCAACCATTCAGACCATACGGTCAGGTGTAATCTCTCCCGCGAGATTGAGATCCTCCGCTGCACCGACTCTTCCCACATTGTCCGCTGTGAAGCCTTCTTTGAACAGCCCTTGGGAGACATCAAAATCCTCATGGAGTTCATGGACTCCGGCAGCCTCGAAACTTTACTCAAAGACAATGGCACCTTCTCCGAGGCCAAGCTTGCCCACGTGGCCCGTCAAGTGCTCAGCGGCCTGAACTATCTCCATACCCACAACATCGCTCACCGTGACATCAAGCCCGCCAACATTTTGGTGAACAGTAACATGGAAGTTAAGATCGCCGACTTCGGTATCAGCAAGATCATGTCCTTAACCTCGGAAGGCGCCTGCAGTTCTCCTGTCGGTACTTTCGCTTACATGAGCCCCGAAAGATTCAACAAGGAGAACTGTGGTGGCACCTACAGTGGCTACGCCAGTGACATATGGAGTTTCGGCCTGACCATCATGGAGCTCTACGTGGGTCGCTATCCACTCTTGCCCCCAGGCCAGAGTCCCGACTGGCCCTCCCTGATGTTAGCCATATGTTTTGGAGAGCCGCCGAGCTTGCCGGAGGGCGCTTCGCAGGAATTCAAGAGTTTTATTGAGGCTTGCTTGCAGAAGGAAGTCGGAAAGAGGTGGACTGCCGGTCAGTTGTTGAAGCATCCCTTCCTTTCCGATGTTGGTTTTTGAACGTTAATTTCTGTTGTACATTGATTGATTGATTCCCACGGAAAATCGAAATCCGATGAAACATAATTTTTTATGCTCCCATCCTTTTCTTATGCAATATTACAATAAAAATAAAAATAAAAAAAATAAAAAAAAAAGGTGTTGGACCAAATCATTCGCTTTGCACTCAAGTTTAAATTGCATTTTTGTATAGGGCAATGACTAAATTTTTTAGACAAAATTTACAAACCATGTGATGTACGTCACTAATAAAAAATAACATGTTAATTAACACTTAAGTAATAAGCTACCAATCATCAACAATCACGTTATATGGTTCAAATAGATGCTATTCCTAGCATTACCATTATGTATATAAACTTGCTACATTTGTACCATCTTTAGGCCTGGCAATTCCTGACACGACCCGATAACCCGACACGACACGACACGAAATTAACAGGTGCTCGGGTCGACACGATAACGAAACGGGTCGTTATCGGGTAACCCGATAAGCACCTGTTAAGATAACGGGTTTGTTCGGGTATACACGTGAGTAACACGATACACGATAAGTAGAATATTAATTTAATAATTTATAACCCTAAAAAAATACTATAATAATTATATAGGCCTAATTGGATAAATGGTCCCCGTGGTCATAAGGTATTCGGATGATAGCCCCTGTGGTAAAAAAATTTGGATTTAAACCCCTGTGGTCTAAGTCTGTTAGGATTTAAACCCCTGTGGTATAAGTCTGTTAGGATTTATGCCCTTTTGTTAAATAATGTTGATGTGGCTGCCACATATATGCCACGTGGCTGCCAAATGTCTGCCACGTGGCAAAAATAATAATTTTTAATTTTTTTTTTTAAAACCTGAATTTTTACAAAAAAAAAAAAAAAAAAAAAAACAAACCCAGATCTGCAAGAAGAAGAAGAAGGAAGAGGGAGAGAGAGAGGGAGGAGGGCGCGGGGAGAGGGCTCCGGCAGGAAGAAGAAGAAGAAGAAGAAGAAGGAAGAGGGAGAGGGAGGAGTCGCGCGGGGAGACCGGCGGGAAGAAGAAGAAGAAGGAAGAAGGAGAGGGAGGAGGGGTCGCGCGGCGGGGAGGGGGGGAGCTGGCCTCCGGCGGGGAGAAGAAGAAGAAGTCCGGCGGGGGGGGGGGACGGGCGGAGGGCGGGGGAGTTTCTGGGGGTTTTTTTTTTTGTAAAAATTCAGGTTTTTAAAAAAAAAATTAAAAATTATTATTTTTGCCACGTGGCAGACATTTGGCAGCCACGTGGCAGCCACGTCAGCATTATTTAACAGAAGGGCATAAATCCTAACAGACTTAGACCACAGGGGTTTAAATCCGAATTTTTTTACCACAGGGGCTATCATCCGAATACCTTATCACCACGGGGATCATTTATCCGATTAGGCCTAATTATATATATATTAAATTAACTATAATAATTATAATAATTATATATACTACAATAATTGTACCCAAAATATTAACTATAATAATTATATATATATATATATATTAAATTTTATACCCCTAAAAACTATAATAATTATACATACAAAATAAATAGATTTAAATCTACTTAATAAATAAATATATATATATATACACACACACACACCATTGAACTTCATGGGATACGAATTATACGAAACTAATTTCAACGATCCAACCGTCAAATATGTTTGTATATACTTCGAGATCGCATAAGCCAAAAATTGCAAAAAAAAAACATTCAGAGAGCAAGTAACGGGACAACACTTTTTGACGGTTATAAACGAAAAATCACGATTTAACGGTCATTTTAATTCCGATTTTGATGATTTTTTACAACCACACTCCTTAACCCTATATGAATACAATGATTGAATTCAATCTTCAATTTAAAATATTTACACTAGTGTTATACTTAATAAAAGTATGAATAAACTCTTAAGTATTAGTGAATCTATTGTTTTGATGGGATACTCATTCTACAAAACTAGTTTTAATGATCCAACCGTCAAACATGTTTGTATATACTTCGAGATCGCATACGCCAAAAATTGCAAAAAACAAACATTCAAAGATCAAGTAATGGGACAAAAGTTTTCGATGGTTATAAACGAAAAATCACGATTTAACGGTTATTTTAACTCCGATTTTGATTATTTTTTACAACTACACTCCTTGACCCTATATGAATACAAGTAATGAATTTGATCTTCAATTTAAAATATTTACACTAGTGGATACCACAAAATCTTATGTTATACTTAATAAAAGTATGAATAAACTATTAAGTATTAGTGAATCTACTGTTTTGATAGGATACTCATTCTACGAAACTAGTTTCAAAGATCCAACCGTCAAACATGTTTGTATATACTTCGAGATCGCATACGTCAAAAATTACAAAAAACAAACATTCAAAGATCAATTAACGGGACAAAACTTTTCGACGGTTATAAAAAGAAAAATCACGATTTAACGGTCATTTTAACTCTGATTTTGATGATTTTTTGCCGCTACACTCCTTGACCTTATATGAATACAATGATTGAATTCGATCTTCAATTTAAAATATTTACACTAGTGGATACCACAAAAATCTTATTATACTATACTTAATAAAAGTATGAATAAACTATTAAGTATTAGTGAATCTATTGTTTTGATGGGATACTCATTCTACGAAACTATTTTCAATGATCCAACCGTCAAACATGTTTATATATACTTCGAGATTGCATACGCCAAAAATTGTAAAAAACAAACATTCAGAGATTAAGTAACGGGACAAAACTTTTCGACGGTTATAAACGAAAAATCACGATTTAACGGTCATTTTAACTCCGATTTTGATGATTTTTTACAACTACACTCCTTGACCCTATATGAATACAATGATTGAATTTGATCTTCAATTTAAAATTTTTACACTAGTGGAAACCACAAAATCTTATGTTATACTTAATAAAAATATGAATAAACTCTTAAGTATTAGTGAATCTATTGTTTTGATGGGATACTCATTCTACGAAACTAGTTTCAATGATCCAATCGTCAAACATGTTTGTATATATTTCGAGATCGCATACGCCAAAATTGCAAAAAACAAACATTCAGAGAGCACGTAACGGGACAAAACTTTTCGACGGTTATAAACGAAAAATCACGATTTAAATGTTAATTTAACTCCGATTTTGATGATTTTTTACAACTACACTCCTTGACCTTATATGAATACAATGATTGAATTCGATCTTCAATTTAAAATATTTACACTAGTGGAAACCACAAAATCTTATGTTTATACTTAAGAAAAGTATGGTATAGTACTATTGTTTTATTTTTTTTCATAATTATTTTGGTAAACTTCTCATAATTTTAATGATTTTTAATGTTTGGTTTTTCTATGCTTAGTTTATGCAGAAGATAGTTATGACGTGGAAAACCTTACTGAAAACATCATCAACATAACTCTTGAAGGCAATAGATCAAGCCAAAGTTCCAATGCAATTTCATGATGATCGATGTAAATCGAGGATTTTGTAAATTGAGGTTTAAACTTTTGAGAAAGATTTCACAACCTTGAAAACAAAAACTGTTTCATTTTGCATATCCTTGCACATTAAAAATTTGTAATAGATTAGTAGTGTATGTATTATTTTTTTATTAGGCTCTTATTTTCGAGTGTAGATGTAGTACTTAAACGACAAATGTGTTTTAATGTTTTGAAGTAATATTTATGTGGCAATGTGTGGTATGTGCAAATTTAAGAAAAAAAATATATTTTTCTTAACGGGTCATAACAGGTCGGGTCACTTTACCCGTTGGGTAAAGTGACACGACCTGTTAAGGACCCGTTAAGATAACGGGTATGACACGACACGACCCGTTAAGATAACAGGTGTTACACGAAAACGACACGAACACGACTGACACGACTCGTTTGCCAGGCCTACATCTCTCTCATTGACCCCATAGAATTAATGTCCACCAATATATGTTGGTCCATCTCTACTACAAAAATTGTACAAATATGGTATAAAAAATATAATAAGACTAACATGTTTGTTAACTATTGTTTTAAGGAGAAAAAGGATGGCCAGAGAAAAAAAAAGTAGAGAAGGGTAAAATATCAAATGCGGATGTCTTCCTGCAGAATAGTGAGGTTTTGGATAAATTATGTATAAAGATTACAATATATAAGGATTTGACAACACCCTTGAAAGGTGTTTTCCTGCGAGAAGTATGCGGCACTTGACACTTGTGCAGGATAAAGAGGAAACAACATGCACAGAGCGCTATTAAAGCAAAGTATAGCCATTACATTACTCCGCTTATTTGTTATTCCAGAGGAATTTAGCTATATTTTCCTCTTGCTTTTTCTTATTTGCTTTATCCATTTAATGGATGCCATCTTAAGTTATTTTACACCTAAATGTATGTATCAATTGTGTTTAAAACTTTTCTTTTCTCCTTTTACTTATGTCCCTAATTAACTCCCATATGACAACCAAATCATTAAATTATCCACTAAAATTTGACAAATCTATTTATTTTAATTATTAATATTATCTTTTGTACAAGTTTCACTTTTGGACTCTCATTTTTTGTTTTTGTTTTTGTTTTCTTCTGACATTATATTCAATAGAAAGTATTGTATTCAAACTTACGACATAAACATGAAACATTGTTCCATCGAGCTCGATATCTTTCTTTTCAAAATCTTGAACATGCTGACACTAAGTGGGGAACTCTACACCCTAAGTAGTGGCTATTGTTGGTCGTAAACCATAAGTCATGATCATCCTTCCTCCTTTCTTTTTCAGAATAACATGTTGATAATCCAAAGCCTCTACTTGAAAAAATTTAACAAAAAATAGAAAAGAAGCATATATAAAAAAAGTAAAATTAATAATTAAAATAATTAGATCTGTCAAATTTTGGAGAATAATTTAATAATTTATTTGACATATAGGATTTTTAATTTGTAGATGGAGAAGAAACAAGTTATAAACACAACT